GGGCACATGTGACCAGCCGAGTCGGGATGGAGCCTCCAGGGCCTACACCCCCACATTGAGTTGAGGAGCATGGTCCCTAAGGCCTTCATGTGGGATCCACGCTGAGTGTGAGCTGACGTGGACGGCAGGACGGTGGTCACAGGAGAAGGGAAGCACAGTCACGTATGAGCACATGGTAAGGACACACACGAGCACACAGGTACACTCTCAGGTCCCACACGAGCACACCCTACACTCTCAGGTCACACTCAGCCCCTGACGGCTCATTCCTGAGACCCAGGGCTGTAATGGGACGAGCTGAGTCCACGTGCTGTACCCTAGCTCTGCTACTCCACTCCGGTCATCTCCCTGACCTGCTATCTGAAGGAGAGGGTGACCGGTGCTGCAGAGGGTCGTGCCATGAGGGATGAGGACCCCATGGAGCTTGAGCACCCACAACCGCCCAGCAGGGCAACAGCCGTCCCCGAGTGTCCTCCCAACCCCGTGTCCACCGCAAGCCATGTCCAAGCAGCAATGTCCCGAGGAAGAGACAGGGATGAAACCAGCCCTCATGCCTGTTCACTGGGAAAGATTCTCTTGTCCCTAGGGGCCCTGGAAGACTGTTCCTGACATTTCTCGGCCCCACCTCGCAGTGAAGCTGCCCCTGGCCCTGCACTCTGGGCCCATTTACGGAGAAAGCATCCAGGGGGTATCATGCCTGCCTCACCGTGTGGACCAGAGCCCCTGTTGCCACATCTCACCCTGACAGCGCTCCTCTGGGCCAAAGGGAACCCACAGATTTTGTGTCCCTATCTCATTTTCAGACAGAAAAACTAAGGTCCAAAGAAGGGCAGAGAAGACTGGGTCACTCTGTGGCCAGCCAGGAGGACCCAAGTCTCAAGCCACTGCAGAGTCTGCCCTCCTTATAGCCTGGGTCAGCCTAGCCCAGCATAACCCAGGCCTGAAAGGGCCCGCAGCGCCCGGCAGGCTGCTGGGAAGCCGGTGCTGCTCTCCGTCCCCTGGGATGCGGGGGAGTGGGGGTCTTCCTTCCTCCTCAAGAGGGGCCAGACCTGCAGAGCCAACGGCAGCCAGACTCCCGCCCACGTTGCCGGACCAACAACCTCCTCTGTACATCAGAGTACCCAGTTCACCCTGCGCCTTGAGCTCAGCTGTGTCGTTTGTGTGTGTGTCTGAGAGAGTGTGTGTGTGTGTGAGCTTCTGTGTAACACAGCAGGTGAGTATCATGTTACAAATGCTCTGGCAGCATGGGCCCTGTGGGTGCCCCAAGTCTGCACACCCACGGAGGAACTAAAGGTTAACCCTAGGTCTTATGTCTTTGCTCCTTTAAATAGCGTATGTTAAGGTCAGTGAACAGTCAGAGCCTGGTGGCCTGCAGCTCCCCCTGTCTGACCTGCAGCTGGGAGCAGACACATTCCTGGAAGCTCTGGCCACTCTTGCCCAGAGCCTGAGGGAGCCCCAGCTGATTCATCACTGCCCTTTGACCTCTCCAGTTAACCCTTCCTAAACCAGACCCTTGCCCCAGCCCTGCTGTCTTTCTGGGGCTCAGGCTGCAGGCCTGTGTGTTTGTGCACAGGACTTTGGGGTGTCTTTCATCCTGGCTGTGGTGTGAGTGACACGTATACTGTGTGTCCATATTTGCGGTCAAGAAGTCAGCATCTGGGCCCAGCCCTGCCCTGTGTGTGCAGCTTTGGGAGCTGCTGCGTGTGCTTTTGAGACTCTACACATCTGTGGCTGGCTCTCAGGGCCTGCCTGAGTACTCAGACGTGTGCACCTCCTCACAGACCAGCCCATCTGTCCCTGCCTGCCTTCCTGCCCTCCCTCCCTGACAGCCACCCTGAATGAGCTCAGTCATACCAAGGCGGAGGGGGCGGGCCCGGTATGCACCTGCGAGCTCAGGAACACACACTGCTTTACTCCCAGCCTGGCCTCTGGAACCCTCTCCTGGGGTTCCACAGCTGGTGCTCAGTAAATGATGGACTGGTGAGGGAAAGCATAAGAAGGGGCTCAAAGGGGCACAGTCTGGGGATGGGGGGAAGCAGGCCCTCCAGGATGGGAGGGAGGCTTCTGGCGGGAGGGCCAGTTGTCGACGGGGTCAGAGAGCTCCCGAAGAGGAGGTCAAGGCTGGCCGAGCCTGGGTTGGGGGCAGCAGGGTCTACAGACTGCCCCCGCGCTCCCCGGGGACGTCTCGGGTCACCGTCTGCAGCGCCCGGGCCCGCGCCGCCCCGCGGGTTATTTATGACCCCCCTCCCCCTCCCCCTCCCTGGGCGGCGGCGGCGGCGGCGGCAGCAGCGGCGGCGGCGGCGGCGGCGGCGGCGGCCGCTGCGGCGGCGGCGGCGGCTCCGGCCTCGGCAGCGGCAAAGGGCTCCCAGCGGGGGGACCGCGAGCAGCGATACCGCCGCGGAGGCCGCAGGGAGTCAGGGGCGGGGCCTCTGAGGGCCGGAGGAGGGGCTTTGGCCGCTGATCCCACCTGTGTTCCCCAAAGCGCCACCAGACCTGAATTCCAGGCTGGAGGAGATTCTACAGCCAAAATTCTGTCCTTCTGACCCTCTGGCTCCAGCCAGAAGTGCAGAGGAGCGCGCGGGCTACCAGATGCCGACCGGGACACGGGTGGACAGCAGCGAGAAAGTGAGCAGATCCTTGTGGAAGGCACATAATGTCCAGGACTAAGGATGCCTGATCCCTGTGGGAAAGAGGCTCTGATCCCGTGAGCGGGAGGGAAACAGGGGTGTGGAGAGGGGTGAACTGATTAGCCAAAGTCCAGGAAGGGGGTCTCCTGAGAGTCATGGAGTGGCCCTTGGAGGAGAAGGGGTCCTGCAGGAAGCGTTTAACCCAGTCATGGTCTTCTCAGGAAGGCCCCCCCCGCCCCCCCCTCCGGGAGAGGTGGAGCCAGTGAGTAGCACGGAGGCCGGCATGAGCTGGTAGGTTTAGCCTGGTGCCTTGCCAGCTGGATCCCGCTCCGGAAAGCCAGAGTTGGGACTTCTTTGCCCCTCCTTCACCACTGTGGGCCTGTTCAGGATGAAAGAGGCCAGGGGTGAGTCAGGGGTGGTCCTGCAGAAGGGAAGGGAGGCCCCCTCCACAGACGACATAGTACCTTGTCAGATCTAGAGATGAACTTCCCTAGCCTTCCCTTCCCAAACCTTTTAAAGGTCGGGGGTTAGGAGGCCTAAGGGTCGTGAACAGGTGCAGGCAAACATGAGAAGAACTGAGCGGAGGGGACCGTCTTTCAAAAGCAGTCTCAGGGCTGCAGGCAGCTGGTGGGCCTCCCACTGAGCCCTGGTAACCTCTCCAAACTGTGTCCGGACCACAGATTAGCATGATGGCTCCTCCCTGGGCCTTGGCTCTGGGGAAGGAACAGCCTCCTGCATCCATTAGGGAGCCAGCACACCCGAGAGCAAGACATGGGCCACAGAAGCTGAGTGTGCACCCGGGTCAGGCACGCATGGGAGTCCATTTTGCACATAGGACAAACTAACTAGGGTCACTCACATTCACACCCATGCCCACACCTGGCTCCTGGAAGCCCAGCAGACAGATGTGCAAAAAGCAGAAGGGGACATAGAGGGTTGTGTGCTCCCAGACTTGGGTCTAGTCTCAGCACAGACCCTGCTCTCCTAGCTGGCCTGGGGGCTGGCTGGTGCCCCACCTGCGACTGATTTTGGCTGTGAGTCTCAGCACGGGAAAGCAGAGCAGTGGCCAGTGGTCAGGCTCACACCCAGCTGGTGCTGGTGCCTGGTAGGAGGTGAGTGATGGTGGTGTGTTCCCTCACTTCCATCCCTCCCTTGCACAAGGCATGTGTGCGAACATGCCTGGGAGCCGGCTCAGCCCCCCAGAGCCTGGTCAGACAGATGCCCACATGAATGCATCTTAGAGGGGTGGAGGCGGGGGTCTCGGTGCTGGGATGGGATCTGAGGCTACTCTCTAGCTTGCTCAGAATAATGCCTGTGAGAAAGACAAGCCTATCTCGTCAGCTTTTCGTAGGTTTCTGTTTCTCTTCCTGATGCTTCTGCCGCAAGGCTGACTTGCCCGTGTGCAGGGAGATGGGGTTCAACACCAAAGAACAAGCCTCCCCGGTTCCAGGACTGGGCCAAGGCTGACCTGCTTCCTCAAGACACCGAAGTGGATATGGCTCATACTAGGGAACAGAAATGTGCTCAAGGGTGCGATCTCACATTCATGGGCCCCTCTTCCTCCCCACGCCCTCCATCCCTCACCCACCTTCCTGCCCCACAGCATGGCTCACATACTGTTTGTCCTGGAGTCAGAGAGCCCGGATTTAAAACCGCTCATTAGGAGACCTCTTTGTGTCTCACCCTCCTCATCTATAAAGTGAGAACGATGAGGAAAAGTTGTCCTGCGATGAGCCCCGTCAAGTGCAGAGTAACCGACAGACAGACTCCGGAAGCCTCCCGACACACACGTGCCAACCCTGCAGATGCAGGGACCCCCCCCCCCCCGCCCGACACTGCTGCCCACCCCCCCCCCCACCCCCCGCCGCTGTGAAAACCCTCCCTCCCATAACCGGGCCCGCGGGCCGCCCCTAGTCACAGAGCCCTCCTCCGCCTCCGACCTCCGCCCCCTCCCCACGTGTAGTCCGGGCCTCCCGCGGCGCCCAGTGACTCCCTCGACAATGGCGCGGCCGGTGCGCGCAGCTCCTCGCTAGCATACGCCCCATCCCACACCCTCGCCCACTCGGAAACAGGGCAGGGGTGCAGCCCTGTCCCGCTGCCCCCGCCGCCAGCCGTGGGAGCCCAGTCGGCCGTCACGCACCCCCTGCTGGAGCCCGCGCCCGCCCGCCCGCCGCGCCGGGGGCCGTTTAAATGGGCCAAGTTGTGGCGGCGGCGGCGGAGGCGGCGGCGGCGGCGGCGGCGGGAGTCTCCCAAGTCCCTGCCGGGCGGGCGCGCGCCTGTGTACACGGGTGCGCGGCCGGAGCGGCGGAGCGGCGGGCGGGCGGGGCGGGGGCCTGGGACCCCCGGGCGGGGCGGGGCTCAGGGCCGGAGACTTCTGGACTCCACTGCCCGGCTGGGCCCCACCGGTGGACCAGCGAGGCGCGCGCGGGGTCGCCCCAGGGGGCGCGGGCGCAGGTGGCCCGGCGCCCTGTGGAGCCCTGGCGCCCGGGATCTGAAGCAGGTCGATAGCGGATCGATAGCAGCTCCGGCAGCACCATGTCTCCGGCGGCCAAGGCCCCGCCGGCCGGGTGAGAAGCGGTCGGAGGTGGCCCGGCGGGCGGCGCGGCTGCAGGTGCCGGGGCGCAGTAGCGGGTGCGGCGGGCGCGCGGCCAGGAGGCCCCTGGGCCCCCAGCCCCCGAGACCCAACTCCGGCCCGGGCCCGAACAAGTTGAGCCGGCAGCGGAGAGCCGGGCTACGGGGCCACCGGCCCGCCATGCCGGCGGTCAAGAAGGAGCTCCCAGGCCGCGAAGACCTGGCCCTGGCTCTGGCCACCTTCCATCCGACCCTGGCCGCACTGCCGCTGCCGCCGCTCCCAGGCTACCTGACACCGCTGCCGGCGGCGGCCGCCCTGCCCCCGGCCGCCTCGCTCCCCGCCGCGACCGCGGGCTACGAGGCGCTGTTGGCTCCCCCGCTCCGCTCCCCGCGCGCCTACCTGAGCCTGCACGAGGCCGCCGCGCACCTGCACCTGCCCCGGGACCCTCTGGCCCTCGAGCGCTTCTCGTCCGCCTCGGCCGCAGCGCCGGATTTCCAGCCGCTTCTGGACAACGGCGAGCCGTGCATCGAGGTGGAGTGCGGCGCCAACCGCGCGCTGCTCTACGTGCGCAAACTCTGCCAAGGCAGCAAGGGTCCGTCCATCCGCCACCGCGGGGAGTGGCTCACACCCAACGAGTTCCAGTTCGTCAGCGGCCGGGAGACGGCCAAGGACTGGAAGCGCAGCATCCGCCACAAAGGTGCGGCCGCGGGGCGGGCGCGGGGGGCGCGGGGGGCGCAGGCCGCTACGGTCCCTCCCCTCGGCTCCCCAAGGACCCTTGGGTCCGGACCCCCTCGTTCTGCCACCTGGGAGACCATCTCCGCCCAGAGAGGGCGCTGCGACTCTGGGGTTGCCGCAGGGACACTCCCCCCCCTCCCCGCCCCCCACCCCCCGCCCCCAGCGCGGTCGCCTTGGTGGACCCGACCAGAGCGCCCTCGGCCTCCGCCGTTACCCCAGCTGCAGCCGCGGTGCTCTAGGCTCCCCGCGGCACACGAGCCGGCCCCTCCTCCCACTCGGAAGGTCTTTGCGGGATTCCCGAGCTTTGCGGCCCAGGGGAAGTTGACGGGAACTCGGGAGCCTGCGGGAGGCCGGCTGGGCGGAACTCAACTTCCCTCCGGGGTCGGGGAGCCACCAGGTTCTAGCGGGAGTAGAAGAGCACGCAGGCTGCCGGGGTGCGGGTGCGAGCTGCTGGACGGAAGGGGAAGGTGTAGGGGTGTCGCAGGCAGGTGGGGGCGTCGGGGGCGCGCGTCGGGGCGGGGGCGCGCGCGGAGCAGAAACGCGGCTGGGCTGCGAGCAGCCTGCTTGGGGGAGATTCAGGAGTCTGGCTCCGAGGGCGCGATGTGCGGGCGCCCGAGCAGGCAAGCGGGGGAAACTCAGTGAGCGCCAGGGGCGGGGGTGGCGATGGGGGCCGTTAGAAAGTTAGGGACCCAGTCGCGCTGGGCTTTTGGGTTCGCGGCTCTGCTGTGGCCGCCCTCTTCCCGCTGCGGGCTCAGGCACAGCCCAGGACCCCGCGGCGCCGCTCACCTGCGCGCAGGCTCGACCTTCCCCGGCCGGGTTCCCAGTTCCCCCGGACCGGCTTGGAGAGGGCCGAGCGCGGGAGGAGGGACGCAGGGGGCCGGAAGGAGGCCGCCCTCGGTCCGGGGAGGGCGCTTCCCCGGATTTTGAGTTTCTGGGCTCTGCAGATCCCCGCGGCGTCCGCGAGGGTGGGGTGGGCGGCAGGGCCAGGTAGTGGGTTCGGAAGTTGGATGTTCACGCGCGCGCCGGGAGGCGGAACCCGCCCAGCAGCTTACTGCGCCGCGGGGTTGCGTCGAGGGCGCCGGCTGCCTCGGCCCAGCGCTGCTCGCTCATCGGTCCTGCCTCGGCTCTCTCCCCAGGAAAGAGTCTGAAGACGCTTATGTCCAAAGGGATTCTGCAGGTTCACCCTCCGATCTGCGACTGTCCAGGCTGCCGAATATCCTCCCCGGTGGTGAGATGTAGAGAAAAGTTGGGGCTTTGGGGGTCTTCCTTCTCCCCTGTGGAGCTTGTGCCTGTTTTCTCTGATCCAGAGTCCTAACCTCAGCCCTGCCGGTGTGCAGGAGTGAGCCCCCCCGAGGGCAAATAGGGAGACTTTGCCTTGGGTGGAATCCTGGAGGAGGTCTCTCTCCAGATGCAGGTCTGATTGCTACCTATCTTGGAGCATCTCTTGGGAGCCTTGGAGCGGCTTCTCCTGAGGTCCTGGGGACAGTCTAGGCTGGAAAGGTCCCCTCCCTGGACGGTGCCATCCAAGTGTGGCTTAGGGACCTTGCCCTGTCACAGGTCTTTGTGGGGAGGCGGTTGTCACTGTGTCGGCTGGCCCGGCTTGGGGGAGGGGCTGATCCTAAGGTAACACTTGTCCTGGGGTGTGACACTGTTGTCAGGCCTGGGTGTGCATTCTGGGGTGGTCACAGCTTGGATGTGGTTAACATGGGTTAACATCTGGGATGCCAAGAGCTGGGCATATCCAGGAGAGTATGAGTGAGGGTATAACCCAGATGGGGCAGAATCTGAGGAGTGTGGGCCTTTGGTGGCAAGAACTGGAGATGGAGGCTGATACAGGACCCCGAACCCAGTGTAGACGTATATCAGCCCCCTCTTTGGCCTAGGGGAGCAGCAGAGATCGGTGTTCTGGGCCTGCCCCTGAAGCACTGTCACCCACACCCTGTGCCCTCCAGGTAGCAATAGTTGGAGGATTGGCCTGAAGAAGAAATTGCATCTTGAGAGGAACCAATTTGAGCTGCTAGGGGAGAGCCAGTTAGGGCCCTGGCTCCTGGGGGTGGCTGGCATTGTGCTGCTCTTCCTGACGCCATCAGCAGCACCCTCACACAGAAAGGGGTGAGAAAGGACCCAAGATGCCCACCTGAGCTTCTTTACTTTGGACTGCAAGTAGGAAGGACGAAGGGACGCTTTGGTTTCCTCGTGGACCCTGGAGGCGGGTAACCTGGGCAGACAGCTGTGAAGACAGACACCAGATCAGACACGCGAGGGGGTTACAGCCATGCCTCAGTGTGTACCCACCCCACACACCATGCCATGGACTTGTCACCGAAGTATGTACGCACAGACAGCCCACCTCCTACCCACTAGCACGGTACCTGCCTGGGGCAAAACGCCAATCTCCCTCTCCACTTAACCCACCTTTTCAAGCAGCTGGTACTGGAGAAGAGTCTTCTGGGCACCCTCAAGGGTAGCCTGGGGTTTCTGTTCGGACTGGAGGGGCCCAGCCTGTCTCAACCCACCCCCTCCAGAGGTCTTTCAGAGGAGTGTTGGTTCAGGTGGCCTGAGCCCAGTATCGACTTCCCCAGGACGTTGCTTGGACTGGGTAGGGGTGGAGAGTTCAGGCAGGGATGAGGCCGCAGCCTTGGATTGCCTGCTGGTCTGGGGCTCCCAGGTCCCTGCCCTGCATGAGGGATGCCCCAGACCTGGGCCTGCCTCTCCTGAACCAGATCCCTTCCAGGCCCATCCCGGTACCCCTCACTTAGGAAGGAGCTCCACAGTCCCTCTTGACGTTCCAGCCCCCAATTTTGTCACATAGAGATTGTCTTCCTCCATCCCCACAGCCAGGCCCAGAGGTACGTACACTCCTCATGGTCGCAGACACCCGGGGGCACACTGAGGTGCGCCTATGATGCAGGGGTCACAGCCAGGCAATGTGGCTTTCCTGTGCCCACCCTTGCGTTCTGGGGGGCCTGTGCTTTCAGATCTATGTGCTGCTGTGCAGGGATGAGGGGTTGAGGTTCTGGGTGTGCGTGGGAGGAAAGTATGCTCCCTGTCCTTGATCGGGGTCAGGGCTGCCCATCCTGGTCCCTCTTCTTCAGCTTGCCTCCCACAGGAGCACCTCCAAGAGCCACCCCAGGCCAGCATAGGTAGTCTGGCCTCATCCCCAGTGGCAGGCTTACTGCTATCATTTTCCTCTCCTCCTCGTTGTCTTTCAGATGAGAAGCAGAGGGAAATAAATTTCCTTTTTTTCTGAAGAGAGTAGTTTAATTAAAACAGAAAGGCAGGAGAGGAGGTCCTGGTGCTTGGGCCACAACAGGCTAGAGAAGGACAGAGCTGAGTGGGACTTCCCAACTGTGCACACTTCGGACAGGGCAGAATGTTAAAAGCATTTCCCTTGGAGCTTGCTGGCTGGCACAGAGGGGCGCAGGGACCAGACAGGCCTTTCCGCTTGCAGCTTTGCCCACTCTCTCTACTGCTGTTAGAGCACAGGGCCCAGGCCAGGGTTTCCAAAGGGGCCACAAAGCAGGCCATCTCATCTTCAGGCTCCATTGCCCCACCTCACCCCACCTGACCCCAATGCCATCCAGTGTATCTCACTAAGTGTTGCAGAGAGGAACACGGAGGGTGTCCCAAGTGGATTCACGAGGGCAAGCATGGGGGAGACTGTAGCTCAGAGAGTCTTGGAGGGGGGACCTGGAGAGGGGGTAATTGTGGTCCGCAGACCCAGCGAAGAGAGAAGAATAGGGCTCCCTGGCCCTCTTGGGAACACTGCCCAAATCTGGAGCTGGGGTGGGCTTGGTCTGAAAGAAAAGCCCTTCTTTATTCTGGAGAGCAGGACTATAATGGCCGCACAGCTGTCCTTTAGGTCCAGGATGACACTGGTCCAGGGTGAAGCAAAACCCTCCTTCACACTTTCCTCCTCGGGCTCATGGGTATGGTTGTCCTGGCAACAGGAAAGACGGTGTCCATGGGTCCCCAGGTGACTGAAAAGATGAGAAAGAATTAGATGGTCCCAAGGTCCTGCCACCTCCGTGAAACAGCAACTCCTTATTAAAGAAGAAAAAGTTTCCTGCACACCAGAAAATAATCAATAACTCTTCCTCATCCTCTGGGGCAGCAGGGCCCAAAGACCCTGGAGGGAGCTGCGGTGTGTGGTGACCTTGTCTGGTGTGTGCACATGCTCTGAGCAGGGACAGGCTCGGTGGGGAGTGCCCCGTGTCTGTGCACAGGGCCTGCCTTCCTGCTCTGACCCCCAGCACACAGCACATGCATCAGCTCCACATACTCGCGACATGCGGGTGGGGAGGGGAGAAGTGGGTGTCATGGAAGAAACCGAGTCGCTGTTTCTGACCCAGAAGGTGGGCTCCCTCGGGGCCCATGGGACAAAGGAATCTAGGCTGGGACATGGGATCTAGGCTCGGAAGGGCTCCCCAGCAAGTGACCTGTGAGCCCCAGGCCTGCAGTTTGCAAGGGTCCAGCAGGATCAGGCCCCAGACTCGGGCTTCGAACAACCCCTGGAACCACTGCATAGCACTAGCAGAGTAGAAAAAGGACTTGGCGTTTGTTGGGGGTTCAGGCAGGAGCTGTGTGGGATTTGTTCAGCCGACACAAGCACACGGAGGCGGCTGCACGTTGAACATGTGGCAGAATGCGGATGTACTGTGTTGTGCAAACGTGGCCCCTTGGGGCTCCCTGGAGCCAGGGAAAACAGGAGTCTGCCTCCAAGTGGGCATCCCCACACTCAGGCTGATAGCCTGGGGAGGGAGCCAGGCTGGAGTGCAGAATCTGGACACGGAAGAGTCACGAGGAGCCCAGCCAGGGCCTACAGCCCTCACTCCGCCCCCTGCCAGCACGGTGGGGGGGGGGGGGGGGGGGGGGGGGGCAGACCCAGGCCTCACCTTATCTTCGCCTCTGGCCACTGGGACTCCGTGGACCCTTGGGCCTGTCCTGCAGGCTAGAAGCCCTGTGGCAGGGCCAGCCGTGGTGCCTCTTTGATCTGAGCGGCTGCTCTGAAGGCTTCTGTGGCCTGCACCTGCCTGAGGGGTGGGCCTGGAGTGCAGGCCTCCCAGCAGCCTGAGGGCCCCGGCTCAGCCTAACCTTCCTCTCTTCCCTCCGTGCCCAGAACCGGGGGCGGCTGGCGGACAAGAGGACAGTTGCCCTCCCCACTGCACGGGTCCTAAAAAAGGAGCTGACCCCCAGCTTCTCGCCCAGTGATGGTGACAGCGATGGGAGTGGTCCGGCCTGCGGGCAGCGGCCAGGCTTGAAACAGGAGGACACCCCACATGTCCGTATCATGAAGAGAAGGTACCTTTACGAGGGACCAGGGTGGGGAGGGCACATGGACTCTGGTCGGGACATGTCTGGGTGGCTGAAGGCCAGGCCAGGCCATGGGGAGGGCCTTTTGCCCCGGGGACAGGGCTCAAGTTTAGCTTGTCATGTCTTGGTATCTGCTCAAGCTGAGAGAGCCTGGACCCTGGATGCCAGGAGGCTTTGGCGAGAACCCACCCTGCCCCCACCTGGAGGGAGGGGGGTCGATGTGGCTCCATGTGGGGAAGGGAGGGGGCTCTAGGAAGGGCCAGGGGCTCCAGAGGGAGGGTCAGGGAGACCCAGGAAGGGAGGGCCTGGCACCACTACAGCCAGGCAGAGAGAAAGGATCTGAGCAGCCCCTCCCCCAGGACCAGCCCCTAAAACTCATGTGCTCATTCTTCTTGGCAGGCAGTGGCCCTCCTGGCTCTCCACTGTCCCCTGGCAGAGACACCTCCCTCTGTCCACTCACCTCTTCATCCCACCACCTACCTGTTGTCTGTCCATTCATTTGTCTGTCCTTCCAGCACATATTACTCACCCCCAGAGTTTCCAGGCTTTTTCTCTTCCCACCTAGTCTCTGAACATGTTCCAATTTCTCCTACCCTAAAATAACCCTCCCTAACCCCCAACACCCCCGCTTCCCAGCCCTCATACCCACGCTTGCTGAGGTGACACACCCACACAGTCTTCAGCCACCATCCCTCAGCCTGAGGGTCTTTCCGGGAACAGTGCTGTGGGTGAGGGGACAGGCCCAGGGCAGAGCTGTGTCCTTACTTGACCTCTCGTGCCAGCAACCCCCTACCTACAGTGTGAGGCAGGAGGCCGACTAGTAGCAGCTGGGACCCAGGAAGCCACGCCCACTGGGGCTGCCCCTGGACCATTGCTGCCGGTACAGCCCTGGGCCTTGCTCCCTGACCGGTCCAGCCTGGTGGAGCTGCTCCAACCACACGGAATTTGGTTCAGTCGGTGGCTGATGGGCGGGAGAGGCTGCAGCCCTCACCCGGAGCCCAGTGTGGCCACTCTTCTGGGTTCGCTGCCCCAAAAAGGAGAACTGTGGCAGCCTCAAGTCTGTCCTCCCACTTCCTTCGGTGAGACCAGGAGTCGGCTCCTGCCCCATGGTTCTGTCCTGGCGGCAGCCACCGGCTGGTGGAGCTGGTACCAGATAGCAATAGAGACAGATCCAAGCCAGCCCAGTTCCCTGGGGGCCAGTGCTCTGGGGCGGATGAGGGCTATGCCATCCACACGCCCTGCTATTCGGGTACCAGACCCTGGAGGCCTCTGACCCTCTGTTTCTCTCCTTGCAGAGTCCACACCCATTGGGACGTGAACATCTCCTTCCGAGAGACGTCCTGCAGGTAGGGTCCGGGCCTGGGCCAGGCTGATCCCCACACACTGTACATGGGCTGGATGGCGCCTTGTTGCTCCCCTGAGCCTGCTTCTAAATCGCTCCAGCCACCGTCCCCTCCTCCCCTCCCTACTCTGTGCTGTGTCTGTCTGTTGGTGCCCGGGCCCTGACAGCAGGGAAAGTGTGGGTTCTGGGCACCACCTGCCTGCATGGGACCGGCCATTTGGGTTGGTCTACCCAAAGAGGACGCCACGACCTCCCACTCCCACCCTCCCAAAGACCCACCAGGAGACGAGAATGGTGATGTGTGCATGGCGTCTCCTAGGTGCAGAGACATTCAGTAGGGACAGAGTTTGTCTGCGAAGATGTGGAAGAACAAGGGAAGGGGATGTGAGGGGTGGGGGGTGGCAGGTCTGGCCCCATCGAATGCTAAAGGACTTTGGGAGCCGAGCCTATGGGACAGGGTGCTCCAGGCAGTGAAGGGCTGACAGAAGTTCTTGAGCAGAGGGGTGACAGAGTGTGTGTTTTCTTGGGGTCCTTCTGGAGGCCCTGCCTGGGAGGTTGGAGGTTTGCTCCAGGCAGCTGTGGTTCAGGCTGTGGCAGCATGATGGAGGGCAGGGGACTACAGAACCAAGGAGATAAAAATGAGGGGACCTGAAGAGGAGGTTGGGGGGGCATTGGGGAGACCCAAGTTCTAGATTCCAAACGAGCCAAAGATGGTTCGTCTGTGGGTAGAACCCAGGCTGTGGCTTCTGGTCTGTGGGGTCAAGTCTAAACCACAGGGAGGGCAGAGGAAGGGCCCAACCAAGGAGGCAGCGGGCACCCAGCACAGGCCTGGTTTCTTCAGCCAAAACTGAGGGGCCAGGCCCCCAAGGTGGGAGCTTGTCCTCCCCGCTCCCAGCCTAGCTCTGTGCCATATGTATTATTATATACATCTCTGAAAACATCTGAGTCCTAGAGCCAAATTACAACGAAAACATCTTTAAACTTATTTCCACCTCATTTTGAAGTTGCCTACTCAACTGATCATTTTCATGAACCGTGATGAACATTGATGACATTTTATGAGCGTTTTGCTTGGGAAGCTACAGGATGAATTTGTCAGTGAAGCTTCTAGCGAACCCCAGGAAGGCCCCTCCAGTCCTACAATGACCCTTCCTGCCTCCTGAGCACCCCCCAGCCTTGTAAAGTGAGAGAAGGTCCCAGGAGTCCACACGGAGGGTGCCCCTGGGAAGAAGCTAAGTCCAAGGGCGCGGGGGCCCCTTCAGTCCCACACAGGCCTTAGGGGTGGCTGGGATGCTTTTCTGGAGTTTACCAGAGAGGAGACTGTAGTTTGGGGCAGGTCTTCCAGCCTGTTTTCTCCCCCTGCAGAGGGGGTACCTCAACGTTGGGCCAAGGAGGGCTGCAAGCCCGGCCCCTCTTGGCCTCTGTCTGTCCTTCATCTCTAGTCTCCTGTCTGTTCCCCAGGCCCTGTCCATTTCTCTCTCTGCTATGCCCATCCTTTCTGTCTCTGCGTCCGTCCACTCAGTAGTGCCCGTCTGTTCATCTGTCATCATGTTTCACTCTATTTGTCCCTCTCCCTCCATCCATCAGTCTTCATCTGTCTGTCCCTCCGTCTGTCCATAAGTTCCATCCATTGGCCCAGTGGCCTGCTTGGAGCTCCTGCTTCAGCACCTGAGCACCCCCAGCAGCTGGCAGGAGATGTGCCTGCCCTCCTGAGGGCCCTGCGCCGGCTGGGACATGGGCAAACACTGAACAGTAGGACAGTCAGCTGAGGGAGCCTGCAGGAGGCCAGGATGCCCCTCTGGGGAAGAGGGGCCGGAGGGGCCAGACCCTTCTCCCTCAACCTTCTGGCACACAGCCTCCTGTGTGCAGCCCCTTCTGTCACTCGGGCTCTCCCCGTCACCTTCTGACACACAGCCCCACCCTGTGCTGCCACAGAGAGCCTCCCGGGCTTGGTCCCTCACGCACAGCCCGGAGCAGACAGTGTTTCTACGGCTGCAGGAGCCTCAAACTTGCGACACCAAATGCAGAGTTTATGTGTTTTCGGCCTGGTGTTTCTTTGTAGTTCTTTATATAAAACCTGGCATAATTTGTTCACTGAGTGGCCAGAACGTGTGTTCCAGAGGCAGGCCAGGCTGTCTTGGGGCCCGTGGGGCGAACCCCCAAGGCAGAGAGCAGGGGTGTGGTGAGTGGCGGTTTTCTGATTCCCACCAGGCCTCACCTCCATGTTGCCACGGCACCATCCGAGTGCCTGACTGGCCGGTGAGTGACAGAGCTGATGGTCAGGGTGGGGGCGGCGAGGTAGGGGTGCCGTCCCTGGTCCCTGTGTGGGCGCTAGACGAGGGGTTCAAGGGGAACAAACTGATGGGACCTCTCCTCACCTCCTGTCTCGGGGAGTTGATCCACTTCCTGTGGGAGTCCTGGGGACACCAGAATTGGATCCCCTCACAGGAGATCTTGGAGGCAGCGTCCAGCACCCCCCCCACCCCTCCCTAGTGCTGAGGACAGCACTTCTCTGCTCCACACCCTCGCATTGATGAGGATGATAGAGGGATGACAATTGCTGCCAGTTAATCCCATAAAGTACTTACTCCCACCCCACTGCCCTCCTCCTTGCATGGGGGGGCGCCTTCTCTCCTGGGAGAGGGGGTGGGGGTGGGGAGAGGACCCGCGTCTGGGTCTCCCAGAAGGCTCTAGAGCCCAGCCCTGGAGTCTTTGGGGCTGAAACTGATCTGCTTAGGGGCAGCCTGGATTAGCCTGGTCCAGCCACCCAGGCCAGGGGGGCTGGGGGCTATTTAATGAGGTTTAGGGTCGGTTCCCAGGTCATTCCGTGGAGGCCCCCTTGCAGCGGCCCAGCTGGAAGGCTGCCCTATTACAGGTGGGCCAGGGAGCAAGGGGACGGGGGCGGTTGCAGTGCCAGGGCCATCCCTGCCCCTCCTCTCTTCTGTCTTGACTTCCGCTGCTCCAGGCTGCCTCTGTTCTGTGTCAGGGGACCCTTCTCCACGCCAAGAGCCCCAGGAGCAGACGGAGTAGGGGCCGGTCCCCCACACAGTCCCACTGACATTTGCTTGCTCTGCCCTTTCTCTGGGACTCTGTGGTGTAAGCTTGAGCGCTTGAGCGGAAAGAGAAACGAGGGAACCAAAGAGTTAAGCACACGTTTGCTCCAGGCCCACACATGCCTTGTGGCCGAGGCTCTTAGCTGGGAGCCTCCAGGAGAGGGAGAGCCCCGAGCACACCAGGGCTGCGTGTCCGCGTGCGCGTGTGGCCGCACACTCTCATGGCCCTTGTGTGAGTGTGCGTGTGTCCCTGTGTGTGCTCACATCTCACTGGCTGCAGGGCTGTGGTAGGAAACTCGGTTTCCGCGTTTGAAGAAAGAGGGTCTGTGGGCGGTTGCCGGCCTTCCTTGAAAGAGCGCGTGCGACTTCCTTAATGAAGCGGCTGGCCTGGGAGGAAATGCCAGAGGCACGTGTGACAGTGGTGTCCTCTCCCGTCATGGCTCCTCATGAGCAGACACCCCCTCGTCGGGTGACTGCCGCGGTCACTGTTGGGCGAGCGTGGCCAGACTGAGCTGGGCTGCTGGCCCCGGCACACACCCTCCCTGGGAGCTGCGGTGGGGCCTGAGCGGCGAGCCCCGTGCGGGGCAGACACCCGGCAGGTCCTGGTCCTGGGTGAGACCTGCCTCGGTCACACCCACTAGATGTTTCCCTCAGGACCTGTAGCGGGGACACGCACGTGTGTGCTGCCGCAGACCACACGGGAGTGCACGCTTCCAGGCTGTCCTCTGGCCCTGCGCAGGCAGGTGCTCAAGCTCAGTCAGGCACATGTCGGGCCCAGGGCTGGGCCTTCTGGGGTCTCACCTTCCCTGTCTCGCTCCGCCGCAGCCAGGACAGCGACCTGCCCGCCCTCCTATCCAGCGTCCATCGCAGCCGCCACCTCGTTATGCCCGAGCACCAGAGCCGCTGTGAATTCCGAAGAGCTGGTGTGGAGCTAGGCCTGCGGGCCACAGGTGAGGAGCGAGGGGCAGAGGCCACGGCTGCCTGGGCCGCTGCGGCTGAACCCAAGGACAGCCTGCCCTGCCGTCCTCCCGGCGTCTCTGCTCAGCAGCTCCGGATGCCACCGCCCCCAGCAGCCTTGGCTGGCGGCCAGGGAGGCCGGCTGTCCCCTGGGGCTCCACGGGATGGTAATTGTGTTAATCCAGGCCAGCCAGGCAGACAGGAGGCCAAGGCAGTGGTCCCACCGTGGCTACTTCTGGGGTGGGCTTGAACGGGTCAAGGCCACTGCCACCCCTTTCCCGCAGGAGCAGAAGCAGGGAGGAGAGTCAGGGACACGCGGGCCTCCCACAGGCTCAGAAATGCACCTCCTGAATGGCTCAGTTGAGGACAGGGACATGCTCTGTGTGCCTGAGAGCGCCCACCGGCCCCACAGAGCACAGGCTCCTAGAGGAAAGAGGACCATGGCCCAAGAGATGGGGGACTGCCACCTGGACCTCTGCAGGGGTGGGGCAGAAGAGTGCTGGCCCAGGAGCTCCCATGGTCATCTCAGAGGGTCATCTCGGAAGGACAGCTCCAGAGGCAGCAGGAGCTCGGGTCGAGAGGGTAGCTGGGGGACCCTGGCCTTCCCCAGAGCAGCAGGCCGGAGGAGACTTGGCTGTGTGGCTTTGCTGCAGAGAATGGGGCATGGCTGCGCTTGGACTGTCAGAGGAGTAGGCAGGGGTCCCTTGCAGCCCTACGGCCCCAGGGCAGGAAAGTCTCCAGCAGTGGCTCTCAGAAAAGCTGGGCAGGAGATGGTCATCCCCATTGGTTCCCCCAGGCACACCTGTGACTGGGAAGGCCTTTGTGGGCTGCTTCTGGAGCCTCGCTGGAGGCCTTGGAGGCAGCGGAGCAGACAGCTGATAAAATCTAGTTGCCGCATCGACCGGCCGGGGCCGCGGGAGCCCCACAGCGACCGAGACATTCTGAGCCAGCGGGCCCTCCCTTGCTGCCCGCACACAGGGAGACCTCACAGTACACGGGCACGAGTGTGCAGGCGTGCTAGCAGGCACGTGTGCCCTGCTCACTGCCAGGGCTGTGTGCTCAGTGCCGTGGTGTGGCCCAGGCACCCAGGGCACACCCTGTGTCTGGGTGTCCCCCTCTCCTTTATGCTGCAGTGCAGGGCGGGCGCGCAGGCACGCCAGGGGTCACCGGTGCTCTGCGTGAACTGTCACATGTGTGTACTGTGTCTCCTTGGGGCTGTCGTCCCCCACTGGCTTCCACTTGCTCCTGTCGGCCCTCGGGTGGGGACATTTGCCTGCCGTCACCTCCTCTTGCTTCCCCAGGAGCCACCTGTCAGTCCCTATTCCCACAGGAATGGACCCTGGACAGGAAGGGCCATGCAGGACTGTGAGGGACTCCCCCTGGGTCCGTGCTGGCGTCTTAGGACTGTGTATCTATGTCTGTGAGTGAGCGTCGCCCTTATCAAGGACTAGGGAAGCCCCAGATTACCCTGGCAGGACCTCACTGCAGCCACGGAGCTGGGTCTCACTGGGGGTCCTCCTTCTACCTCCTCTCCCAGAGAGAGAGGGGCCCACCCCCCACCGTCCACCGTCCACCCCTGCCCCGCAGCAAGGCAAGGGGGAGTTTCCACTGTGGAAGATGGGAATGGGACTCCGGGAAGTGAGAGTGCTGGATCGGGTGTGTGCAGGAAGGGGCCTGGGCAGCAGGTGTGGACCCAGCCCGAGTCCCCCTCCAGACCCCCCCGCCACCAGTGGGATGCTGTGGCTCTCCTACCAGCTGGGCCCCAATGCCCCTGAGCTGTTGGGGGCCAGCTTTGGTTTCCTCAAGGGGCCCTTATGCTGGGTGTGTGGCTCCATGTCCTGCCAGGTCACTGAGGTAGGAGCCCTTCCGCCAAGCAGTAAGGCCCTCGTCCCTCTCGGGGCAAGGCCTGGGCTTGGGCTGCCGAGGTGGCCGAGATCGATAAGTTATTAGCACCATTCTGTCAGCTGTAAAGTAGGGATTGATTGGCCTCTCGCTGCTGCCGCACTTCCCCGGCCTGATAAAAATGACAGATTAAGGGAATAAGAGAAAGGAATTAGGCTCTGGGAATTAGGCTCTGGGAAGCCTGCCTTGCTGAGGTGTCACAGCAGGCCTGGTTCACAGAGTGGGTAGCCCTCACCCCACCTACCCAGGCAGCCTCCTCAGGTTGGAGAGGGGGCGAGACCACAGGCGCAAGCCCGGAGGCCAGCACTGTGGTGGGCCCCAGAGACCAGCACATCTGCAGGGCTGTTCATCAGACACCCCATCCCAGGCCTTGAGCTCAGGAAGGAGGGATCGGGGGCTGGGCTGGAGAAGGGCTGATTTGGGGAGACAGATGAATATAATTTGGAGGGAGGACATGGGAGAGTTGCCCCCTCCCCCCACTACTCTGGCCAGGCTGTATACAAGATGAGACTGTTCTTGTGCCCTCAAGTGCTCAGAGCCCAGCAGGCAGGCAGGTGTGTGACAGGCAAGGCCAGAGTGCTGGCTCAGGCCTTTCGAGGGCGGGGAGGCGTGTGACCTAGGTGGAGGTGCCCAGGAGTGGGTGTGGCAGGTGTGCCTGATCTTGGGGGCCTGCCTAGCAACCTCCCTGAGTGGACAGAGGCTGGGGTCCTCACCCTGGGAGGGAAGGTGACTTCCAGGCTAAACCAAAGCCTTCGGCTCCTCTTTGGCAGAATGATCAGGAGGGCTTGAGAATTTGCACAGGAGACCAGTCTGGCTGGGCAGGGGCAACAGGGCGCCTGTGGACTCCTGAGTTGCCACCTGACGCTACTGCCACAGATACCTACGTACCCCAAAATCCAGAATCAGAACCGTCCCTTGACCTATCCAAACCCTGGCAACATGACCTTTGGCTGAAGGCCTGGGACCCTGGACTGGAAAAGGCTTTGAGTTGCCGGGGATCCAAGGGCACCTGGGCCATGATGGGTTAGATTCTGGGCTGAGCTGGGGCCGGCTGGGACTGAGACCTGGACTGGGTCCCTCTTGGCCCCTGGACCTCCCAGCCTCCATCCCCTCCAAGCCTGGAGATGCGTGAGGGGACTCACTCTATCCTCCCCAACAGGTGACCTGTCGGGCAAGAGGCTAGGCCGCTCCCCCCACAGCAGCGGCGACTGCCCATTGGAGAAGAAGGCGCGGAGCAAGTCACCCCAAGGTGGGAGCTCAACTTGGAGGCGGGGGGGTGGGGACAGGCTACAGAGGAGGGAGGGGTAACTTAGACCCGGTGCAGGGCAGAATCGGCCCAGCAGCAGGTTCTAAGAGGGGAGGTCTTGCCTTTTGTGTAGCAGCATCTGAAGGAGAACCCCTCACCTTCTCTCCAACACAGAGACTCTGTTGCTGCCAGAACCAGGGCCCAGCATGGCCCCTGAGGACCACTACCGCAGGCTTATGTCTGCCCTGAGTGGAGCCGGCACCCTTGAGGACCCCCAGCGCCTCTACCACCTGGGCCTCCCCAGCCACGGTATGGCCCCCACCCTATAGCACCATCCCTTACCTGTCTACCCGTGCGTGCTGGGCTCCTGCTATCCCTGGAGGCCTCTGCTCAGCCTGGCAAGAGGCCCTGGGGTCTGTGGCTGCTGACACCGAGACTGGGTCTGGATGCGGATCTGTAGGCCCCTCAGCCCCCATTAGCCCCTTGTGGGTGAGCACTGAGGGGAGACTCTCCTCCTCCCTCTGCCCAGCACCCACTTGTTTGAGTAGATCTGGGGGACCCCCCGCCTGCATATCCCTACAGTCCACCCCCGCCATCGCCCACAGACTCTCCAGCAGGGCCAGCCCTCCCTTGTGACATGCCAGCACCGTCATCCACATCCACAGATGAGGAAACTGAGTCTGGGATGAGCCCCAGTGAGAGTGGAAGGTGGGGACTGAGCCAGGCCCACCCACCTCTCTCCAGTACTTGCAGCTTCTGTTGTCCCTGGTCTGTATGCTGCAGCCCCTCCTACTGCCGCTGCCGTCTGCGTAGTGTGTGAGATCGTGCTGGACACCTCACCTGGGGACAGCCTGGGTCTCTATGCGGAAGGCGCCAGGAAGAGGGAGGTTGTCAGGCTAGGACATGCAGAAGGCGGGATGGGGAGCAGCTAGGATGTGGCCAGCAGGACCTAGCTGGCTGGTGCTCAGGAGAGCGTGGGGGGGGGGGGCTCCCTGCCCCACCTAGCTCCCCACCCTGTGCTCGCTCTGTCCTTCCTGCCTCTCACCGACACACCTCACCCACCCACCATCTGACACCCTGACCAGCTGCACCCTAGTCTGCAGACCCCTGCCCACGGTGCTGCCCCCAACTTGGCTTTTCCGGCCAGAGGTGGGTGAGGAGTGGCTGGGAAAGGGGGCAGGATTTCTTCTACTTACACAAGGCACTGTCCCCCAGGGCAGTCAGGCACCGAGAGCCTGAATAATTCACCAAATGTTAATAATTTAAAAATCTTCCTTTTTAATTGCTTTCCCTGCCCTGCCTGGGGCCCGCTCGGCTGGCCTGCGCGGGGGAGGGGGCGCCGGCCACCGGGGAGCAGCGCCGGGAGCCGGGCTGTCAATCACGGCCCTGCGCCGCCGCCCCCGCCCGCGGAGCCGACTGTAAATAACCGAGGCCGCCGGGCGGGCGCGGGGGCGAGGGGCCCCGCTGGGATCGATGCAGGCGGCCACGCCGGCTGGGCTCTGCGGGCTGGCACCCGGCCCGGGCAGGACCCACCTCCGCTTTTCGGGTAATTAATTTATAAACAGGCGGCGGCGGTGTCGGCGGAGCCTGAACAGATGGGGGGCTGCGGGGGGGGACTCGGAGGCCCGGCCTTGAGCTGCACGGGGGACCCGGATGGGAAGCAGAGTGCTAGGCGCCTTGAGCGTGCACTGCGTTTGACCCAGAAGGGGGTCGCGGGGCACTGTCAGTACAGGGTTGGAAACCCATTCCCCCGGGGGCAAGCCTGCGCCCCCAGTCTTGGGTCTCTGCACAACCCCGTCCCTCAAGGCTCCTGCAGCCTTGCTCTCCATAACCTCTGAACGCCTGTCAGTATCAACATTCAGGCACCACAGAACCCCTGTCTTCGGAGCCTTTCCCTCCCTCCCACTGCATTCTGGTTACGGAAATCCCCAAATCCCTTTCAAACCTTACCTGCCCCAGGCCCAGTACAGGCGGGTGCCTCCCATCCCCCATTCCTGACACCATACAAAGCTAGTTGCACTGTAAGGATTTGGGTCTCCCAGTCCTGTGGCCTTCGGTTCATCTTTCTGTTCCCATGACCAACCAGCAAGGTCACTGTAAGGCTGTGCTCTCACCGGCTTTCTGGTCTCCTTGGTGTCCTTCACTGGACAGGATTGGGTTGTCAGAGACTCGGGGTCACCACTGATCCCCCCTCCCCCACTCCCAGATCTCCTCAGAGTCCGGCAGGAGGTGGCAGCAGCAGCTGTGAGGAGCCCCAGTGGCCTGGAAGTCCACCTGCCCTCATCCACGGCAGGTCAGCGTCGAAAGCAGGGCCTGGCTCAGCACCGAGAGGGCACCGTGCCAGCAGGCCCCCCATCCTTCTCAGAGAGGTACTGGGGTGCCCACATCACAGAGGCCCCCATCTTCTCTTTGCTAGTTTCTTGGACACAAAACTGGGGCGGGCCTTTCAGAAACCTCGTCCGTGGTTTCTGCAGGTCACGTCCACGGCCTGCCCCTCCTTCCCTTGTCACCTGCCTTCAGTCGTGCATTCTCTTCTCCCCCATCGCAGCCACACGCTGCCCTGGTGCTAGAGTGCGCCAAGTATGGGGCTGGCACTAGGTTCATGGTCTGCAGAAAGGTCCTGACACCCACTGAGCTGGTCAGAGGTCCAGAACACTCCTGGAGTAGAATGTGTTGGGGTGACTGCCCCTCTGGGCAGGGTATTAAGGGTGACTGCCCTTTCTGTTGAGCAACCGTGGGACTCACGGAATCCAGGTGCCCCAGAGACAGCCGAGGGCTTTGCTCCCCCAACAGGTAGGTGAGAGGCTGGCGACAGACTGGGGGAGTTCCTGGAGAGCGCGGTGAGGAGGGGGACAGAAGAGGGGAGCAGGGCGAGGTCTGGAAACCCTTAAGTCGGAGAGCTGGGACAGGGAACACACACACACCGCCCCCCAACCGCGGGCGCGGGCGCCCCGCTGGTCCACCTGCAGAGGCCAAGGGGTGAGCGAGTTACGGGGCGTAATGGGCCGGGCAGCTCTGCCCCGTCTCCTGCCGGGCGCCAGGGTACGCCCCCCCAACAACGCTGCCCCCGCTCCGCCCTCCTCCCCGGAGCGCTATTTGCAGCTAATTGCGCCCCCCAACCCCCAGCCGCACAGGGTCCACCGCAGGCGGGGAGGCGGGGACCCGGCGCGCCCCGCGCGGTAATTACCGCTGCAGTCGCCGCCGCCCGCCGGGTCAGCGCCTCCGCGCCGCCGCGGAGATTAATTGGCGCCGCCAGCCGGGGGCGGGGGCGGCGCACGACCCGGAGTCGTAACGAGCAGCCGCATCGACCGCCCGCGGGGCCGGCAATTAGTAGAGGCGGCGGCGGCGGCGGGAGGGGAGGAGGAGGGGCGGGGGCGGGGGCGCGGGGCAGTTCCGGGAACGGAGGGGGCTCGCGGGGACCAGGCCGGGGCCTGCGGCGCGCACTGCTTACCGCCCTGTCGTCCACAGGGAGCTGTCGCAGCCGCCCCCCTTGCTGTCGCCCCAGAATGCCCCGCACATCACCCTGGGCCCCCACCTCAGGCCCCCCTTTCTGGGGGTGCCCTCGGCCCTTTGCCAGACCCCAGGTGAGGAGTGGGCGGGGTGTGCGAGCTCTTTGTGTCCTAAGGGGCCGGTGAGTGAACCTGCCACGAGGCCGTCGGAGTGGGTGCTTCCGGCTTCGCCGCTGACCAGCCCCGTGTCGCCGAGCGCGCACCCATCCCCGCCCTGCTGAAGCCAAGGGCGGACCAGGTGGGCTTGGGCGGCCCTAGACCACTCGGCCACCTGGCCTCGTGGTCTGTCCCCCTCCCACCAGGTTACGGGTTCCTGCCCCCTGCCCAGGCGGAGATGCTCGCCCGGCAGCAGGAGCTCCTGCGGAAGCAGAACCTGGCCCGGTAAGTGCGGTGGCGACCGGTGAGGCGAAGGCGGAACTGCCGAGCGGCATGACCCACACGACTGTCCGCTTCCCCTGGTCCAGGCTGGAGATGTCCGCAGAGCTGCTGCGTCAGAAGGAGCTGGAGAGCGCGCACCGGCCGCAGCTGCTGGCCCCCGAAGCCGCCCTGCGCCCGTCTGAGGGCGCGGAGGAGCTGCAGCGGCGCGGGGCCATGCTGGTGCTGAGACACAGCTCCGCGCCGCTGCTGGCCCTGCCCCCCCAGGGGCCCCCGGGCCCCGGCCCGCCCACCCCTCCCCGGGAGCCTGTCCGCCGCGCCCCTCAGAAGGGGGGCCCCAGCCCGGCTTCAGTCCACTCCAGTGAGTCCAAGGAGACCACCGGGACTGGGCTCTGGGCACAAGATGGTTCTGAGGACGAGCCCCCCAAGGATTCAGAAGAAGGAGAGGACCCTGAGATGGTGGCTGCTGGGGGCCAAGCCTCAACTGGAGGGGCAAGCCCTGAGGGGAAGGGGCTTCTCTCAGGGTCCATGCTGCCCCCTCCCCTGCCCCTGGGCTTACCCTATGCCGTCAGCCCCTACTTCCACACAGGTGGGCATCCCCCCTCCAGGCCTTAGATCCCTCCATGGGGTGGAAGAAAGTCAGTCCCCACCAGCACCTGGGTCTTAGGGAGGGTGTCCATGGGGAGGGGGAAAATAAACCCTTTAGTCATCAATCCAACATCTCTGAACAGTTTGGGCCAAGCTCAGTAGACCTGGGTGGGAGGAGAGGAGAGAGCTGGCCATCGCCCTAGTAAAACCACCCCCCAACCCAGGCACCATGGGGGGACTCTTCATGGATGGGGACGAGGCCACAGCCCCCGAGGACCTCAGCAAGTGGACAGTGGACGATGTCTGCAGCTTTGTGGGGGGCCTGGCTGGCTGTGGAGAATATGCACCGGTGAGGGCGGGAGTGGACACCCACCTTCTCAGTCCTCATTCCCCACGCCCCTTCCCACCCCAAAGCTCCCCTCCTCAAAAACCACATGTGGGGAGGGGAAAGGGTGCTGCTGCATGGCTTCCCCACCCCCTTGTCAGTGCTTCTGCCTCCCAACACAGGCATATACCCAACACGAAGATCTTCCTTTCGTTTACAAGTTTCCCCAGCAAACTACACCAACAGCTTCTCTCCGGAAAGCCATGAGGCAACCCCAGGCACTTGGCCCTTGGTGGACTGGAGGGACCCAACAGGGTGGGCAGGAACTGGTCCCAGCACTCAGGCCCTGACATCCCCCCACCTCAGGTATTCAGAGAACAGGGGATCGACGGGGAGACCCTGCCCCTGCTGACCGAGGAGCACCTCCTGACCACCATGGGGCTGAAGCTAGGGCCTGCTCTCAAGATCCGGGCCCAGGTGAGTGCCTGTGGGGGAGGGGGAGCCATAGTCTCCAGACAGAGGCCTGGGAGCACTGAGGCTCTTTGTGGCTGCAAGCCACCATCCAGAAGTCCCCCACCCAGGCCCGTCTCTCCACAGGTGGCCAAGCGCCTAGGCCGAGTCTTCTACATGGCCAGCTTCCCTGTGGCTTTGCCGCTGCAGCCACCAACGCTGCGGGCCCCCGAGCGGGAGCTCACCTCTGGGGAACAGCCCCTGTCCCCCACAATGGTCCCCTCCCCCTATGTGGGGGGGCATCCCCCTGCTGGCCGAGCCTCTCCCAAGCAAGAGAACGGAACTGTAGCTCTGTTCCCAGGGCCTGCAGAGCCCGCCCAGCCTCTGTGCTGAACTGGTGGGTGAGCGACCCTGCTCCCTAACCCTCCAGCGCCAGCAGCTCTGATGCAAAAGACCCACCCCACAGCTTCCTTTCTTTTTGATTTGGATGCAAAAACACAAAGAATTTTTTTAAAGGAAAATGTGAGTTAAGAGGAAAAGAGTTTCCAAAACTTTCTGGGGGTGGCCATAGAGCCAGGTGCAGACAGTCTGGGGACCCACACCTGAGCCCAAGCACAGGGACTCCATATCCTGGGTACCAGCACACAGACCAAAGAATGACGAAGGACACAGAGGTGGCCCATCATGCCACCCTGGCGGGGGCCGTGCCCACCAGCTCTGTATGGAACTGGGACGGCTCCTGGCAGTCCGTTCGGCAGCCTGCCATTGGGGCAGAGGTCGGGGCAGAGTGCCGCCCCAGATCGGCTCCTCTCCCGGTCTTGATGCCTCTGACCCAACACTGTGGGGGCGCAGTGGTAGACACGGGCTCCACAGCCACCACTGCAGGGGTCTGCACAGGGCTCGGTACTTTCTGGTCTTCCATGTTGGAAAGATAAAGCCCTGTGCGCCATCGACTGCCCTTCCCCCCACCCCAGCGTGGGTCCTGACCGCCAGGCTCCGGGCCAGCCAAGAAGCTATGTGCCCGACTGTGCGTCACAGTCCCTGCAGGTCCCCTGGCTGGCAGCCCTCAATCCTCCTCGGAGAGCTGGAGGTCTTGCAACTCGTCCTCCGGCCCCTGAGCCAGCCGCTGCAGCTCCCGGAGGCCCAGGCCCGCCTGTGTGTCAGGGCCTCCATCTGCAGGGAGAGACCAAGGCTACATGAATTCCACTTTGCCAGGGAGAAGCCAGCCTCGGAGAGTCCTCATCGCTAATTAACCACAGCCCTAATTAAGTTATTGGTGCCACTGTTACTGGCTGCCGGAACCAGCGGAGCAGCTGGCCTGGGATCCCCAAGGAGGGGTGTGGGCCCAGCTTAGCGCTATCCTCCCAGCTGACTGCCCTGCCCACCCACCCCGCCACACCCATGACAGCCTTGGGCTCCCCAAGGCAGGCTCAAAGGGCCACAGCACCACCCCTCGCGCCCAGGAACCACGTACCTTCTGGATCGCCGGCCGCCTCCTGGCTGCCACAGCTGCCCCCCTCCTCCTCCTCCTCCTCCTCCTCCTCCTCTACCCTCTGCCAAGCTCCTGGGGACCAAGAAGAAAAGCCCATGGGAGTGGGCCCGCCAGCAGGTGCTCACTGGGGGCAGTTAGTGGAGGAGGCTGGGCCAGGCTCGCAGCCCCACACCCACCCGCCTTTCACTCAGGCCCCTTTGGGGCAGGTAGAGGGGATTCCCAAGTGCCCAGAGTGAGAGCGAGGGAACAAAGTCTGGGAACACGTGTTCCAATGCCAGGAAGCCCTCACCTCAAGCAGAGCGGTAGAAGGGCCCCAGCGCACAGGAGCGGTAAGGTGGGAGCCGGCACCCTCTTCTGGTTCCATGAGGCGGCTAAGAGAGCCTTCCAGGCCCACCGTCCCCTTCCCCACAAGGAGCTCAGGCCCCTACCTGTCTCCGAGAAGTCCATGGCACTGTCTTCCCCATCACTGTCCAGGTCAAAGAGATCCTTAAATTCCACTCGGTCTTCATTTTTCCTGTCTCCCACCTTCCGCCGCTTTATCTCTGGCAAGTTCAGATCTTCCAGCTGGCAGGACCCAAAGCCAGAGCAGGAGGCCAGGGTCGTCAGGAGGCCCTGAGAGCCCACCCCAGCCCAGTCCCCAACCTGCCCTGCTTCAGCCCCAGGAACCCCCTCCACCTCAAGGCCTAGCCCTAGCCACGGCTAGGCCACATCAGGCCACATCATGCATCACATGGCAAGAATCCTGACCGTGGTTCCTGTCTCCCCACCCCTCGCATTTCCAAAGGCTTTATCTGATCCCAGTGTCCCGTTCCCTCCCCCATTCCCCTTCAAGCTTTGCCTCCCGACCGGTCCCCCACGCAAAGACTCTGTCTGGCCACTTTTTCTAACCAACTCTTGGTCCACATCACTGGACAGGACTCCTGGACAGCCATCCTGCCAGGCAGGAGAGGAGGCCCCAACCACACGCTGGCCACAAAGTGCCATCAAAGGTTCAGTCACACCCACGGGCTGGAGGCCCAGCTGCAGCCCCTCACCTTTCTGCCTCCAAATCTTCAACCATCCATCTCAGAAATGACAGCAGACCCGCAGGGACAGACAGTCACAGGCATGCCACTCAGCATGAAGCTGTCCCCTCAAGTCACACCATCCCACACCCACTGGCCAGGCCCAGACTCAGAAGCATAGCCCCTCCTGTGGCTCCCTGCCTCCACTGCTGGTGCCAAGGTCAGTCCAGCCACTCACTCCCCCAAAATCCCCAGCCGGTTTGGCCTCCAGTGACCTCCTCCTGCAGGTCATGAGAGAAGAAGTCCCCCCACCGTTACCCAGCTCTGCAGGACATCTGCCCCCTCAGAGCTACCAGAGAACAGGCCGCAGCGGGAACACAGGCCCCCACCCATCCTGCCGACATCGTCCCTGGGACTGTCCTCTCCCACAAGCCCCGTTCCCCACTCTGGTGTCACAGCCAAGGAGCTGGATCCCGGTCTCAGAGTAACCCAGTGGGCCATGCCCACATCCCCCTCCTCCAGCCCCAGCAAACGTCCCCTGCAGACACACCCGCTCTTTGCCACTGATCTCCAGCTGGATCTCTCGCTCCCTCAGCTTCCGCCACTGGCTGTAGTACTTGGTGAGAGGGGTCCCTTCCTCTCGGGTCTGCTTCTCCCAGGCATCCTGCGGGGAGAGGTCCGGGATCAGTCCCACCCTGGGCAACCCTCCAAAGCCCAGCCCGGCCCTGACCGGTGCCCTCAGACGTGCTGCCCGCCCCCCCTCCCGAACTCCCAACTGACCACTGCGTGCCGGTCAGCCACGGCGAAGGGGGCCCCCTGGCGGCGGCTGCAGATGTACTCTGCGTTCTCCTGCACCTTCTCCAGCAGCTGGCGCAGCTGCCGGCAGTAGTTGGCCACCTTACACTCCCGGAGGAAGGACTTCAGCTGCGGAAGAAGAGGGGCTCAGTCAAGGTCCAGATACAGACCTGCTCTGCACCTCACAATCCGTCTGGGCCACACATGACCACAGGGAGGTGACGGGAGAGCGGGGAACGTGGGTTCATGTGTCGCACAGCTCTGGCCATGGGTAGCCCTAGTGCACACATCTGGGGAGAGGACCCAAGTCCACACACCAGATTTGGGGTGGGGGGCGCTGCACGATCTCTGGTGCCCTGGGCCTGTGGGGGCTGGAGAGCAGACGGCCCATCCCACAGGCCAGGCAAAGGCACGGCAGCAGCAGTGGGGCAGCACGGGGCTACCCTCCAGGTCAGAGACCACCCCCAGCCTGTCTCTGTAAATAAAGTCGTACCGGTGCGCATCCAACCTACTCACTCACGCGTTTCTGCAGGTTCTGGGTACAACGACTGGGAAACCTGAGCAGCTGTGAGAAAGCCCACAACTGTGAAGTCTAGAACACTTACCATCAGATTCTACCAGCAGAGTCTGCAAAGCCCTGTTCCACACTGGGACCCCTGGGGCCTGGAGCCCAGAAATAAAGGCTCGCAGACACAGCCAGCCCTGCGTCTGGATGCGGCTCCGGCCAGTGCGGCTCCAGGGAGAGCAGCCCAGCCCAACTCACCCAACAGGCCTCTGGCTGTGCGGGTTGCTCCTGCCCACCAGCGCCAGACAGGGACAGGCAGTGCCACCTGGCCCTTTCCATGAGAGGCACCTGCCTCCACGAGATGGAAAACATCTGGCCAGAAAGCAGGTGGACCTTCGACAGAGGCTAGGCTTGGCTCCTGGCCCTGTGTGGCTGTGACAAGGATGCCTCCCTCTGGTCACTCCGTGAATGGGGAGCTGAGCCCATCAAGCAGCTCTGTCTGCTACACGGGGGCAGGTCATCGAGGGGTCTGGGAAGGAAAGGTGGACCCAGACGGTGGGTACACACCTGCAGGATGGCGGGCAGCGCCAGCTCAGGGAACGCGATGCTGTGGGCCTGGCCATGCAGGTACTCCAGGATGAGGTCATACAGCTGCTCCACCAGGCCGTCCTGGGGCAGCAGGGAAGAAAGGAGAAGGTCGGGGCTGGGGAGACAGGAGCTCCGCACTCTTCCAGAGCAGTCCGATGGGTCCACTCAGTCTGCAGGGTGGAAACTGGAGGACGGGACCCCACAGCCTCCCAGAAGCCACGCTCACACTCAGTGTGGCTTAGGCCAAGGAACACCATTCCCCTCCCATCCCGAGAGACCCAGGAAGGTCTACACGAACTCCACACTCATCTGACCCCTGCCACCCTACACACTGACCTCAGTGCCCTATGCCATCCGGCTGGGACCCCCACCCAAGGCATCTCCCCACGCCCCTCCACAGGAGACCAGCCTCACCCGATATGCCTTCTCCTGCAGGTTGACTTTGGACAGCTTCAGGATCACAGTGAAGTTGATGGGCTTGGAGCTCATGCGCCCCGGCCTCCTGTTAAAGTCCACCTGCTGGAAAACCTGTCCCAAGGCCGCATCAGCCCGGCCTGCTCTGCCTCATGCCCTACTGTGTCACACTCCACCCATATCCTGGGTTACAGACCCACTGTGGAACCAGGGACAGGCAGCCACGTGCAGTGCCAGCCCTGCGGGCCCCCACACCCCTGCCATACAGCACTCTGGCCTCCGAGGCCATCACTTTATCCCCGACTGGGGCTCTGGTGGAAGGGAACGGGACCAGGAGCGCACACATGCTACCGACTCCTTCCTGAATCTAGGCCAAGAAGCTGTAAAATCAACACCTACAGACCAAAGAACCTGCACACAGCCACGGGCAGCGCAACGTTCTCCCCGTGACCGCATCCCCGAGGCCTTGGGCCAACCCCAGGGCTGCATCCCCAGGAGCATCTCCGATGAAGGCCTGGGGAGCCACCACTCCTTCATCCTCCACAGAGACCACCGGCTGCGTCCATCGCTCTCTGCGTCTTGGAGAAGCCCACCCTGGGTCCAAACGCTGAAGGCTGCAGGGTGTCCTGGGGCAGCAGAGGGGGAGCCATGCCTGCCCCCTGCACAGCCTGTGCACAG